GATGAACTCTTGCTAATGGCGACATAGAGTGACGATCTAACAAAATTCATAAGGACGACAGGCGGAGCTCGTGGGGTTAGGATGTGATTAGAGGCCAACAACCAAAGAGAAATTGAGTATATTCTTAGCAAAAATAGCATTGTTTGTGCCTTGTAAACTTACTCATAGTAAACTCTTAAATCTCAATTATTTTTTTAGGCCTCAAATCTCAATTGATATGCCCTAAAACCTAAACAACGACCAAGGTCTCAACACGAGTGAGCTCGTAGGATCATAGTTGTAGAGGCTAGATTCTACAATTAAATTTGTTTGAGGGATCAAACGCTCTCGATGTTGATCGTAGTTTGCATTGTTGATTGAGTGCTAGAACAAAAATTTGAAGTGCGAACAAATAAAAAAATACACAAATTTATAGTGGTTCACTTTCAATGTAAATATTACGTCCACTATAAAGTCTCGGAGTTTCACTATATATAATACTTGAAAAATTATAATAAATATTATATTTTTAAAACTACATGAAATAAATAACATACTTATTTTAATTAGTAGTAAATAACATAATATTAAAAAGTTAAAGTTTATTTTTACCATTATATCATTACTTTTAATTAAAAATTCCCACAACTCTTTCCAAAGAAAGAAATTATCTTTCTCTCTCACCTCTCACGCTAGCCTTCTCTCTTTCTCTCTCTTCTCTCTTCATTTTCTCTCCCCTCTCACGATGGCCTTCTCTCTTTCTCTCACCTCTCTTGCTCGCCCCCTACTGTCTCACGATTTCTCCTTCCACTGATGGCGGAGATGAGAAACTTTCAGGCGACGATCTAGGCATTCCACGCGACGAACATATCCTCGATGAGAGATCTTGGTTGTGAGAGATTTCGGTGGCCGGTGTTCTACACGTTGACGGAGAGAGAGAGCAAGGGAGGAGAGAGCGAACGAGGGAAGAGAGAGAGAGAGACAGAAGAGAGAACGTGACATAGAGAAGAGAGAAAGATTTTCAATTTTGGGTATTTTTTAGATATTTTTAGTAATGATCTGTATGTTAAAATATATTCATTAATAGTTCTCTGCTTTTTACTAAACATTTTTTAAATATATGCTATTAATTTTATTTGTCTCTCCCAAATCTGTTATTTCCTTCATTGTCCTTAATACTTTCAAAAGTACAATTATAATGAAAATTGAGAATGAGAAAGCGGAGGGATTTAGAGAGAGAATCTAGAAAAAGGAGTGAATGTGCTGAATATGGTATTTGGGATATACAATTCGTGGTAAACATCTATGGAATGATAGTTTTCCTTTCTGTCTTCAATTGACTTTCCTTTTTCCTTATTTCCTTATTTAATTTGCGGTAGCTTCCTCTCAAAATTGAACTGATTCTTGCCTTTAATTTCAGATTTGGCTTATTTGAATTTTGTGGTCTCCAAAGAATCCTCTTCGACCAACTAATTCCTCTAGTTGACATTATTTTCAAGATGATGTCCACGTGAACGGCTATGATCGTGGTGCTGGTGGCGTTTGGAAAATGAGATTGGCAATGAGCACAAGTCTAGGAACCTCTTTTCTTTCTTTTTATTGTTGTTGCTTTTGTGGCCCTTTTTTTCCTTTTGAAAATTCTCGTGCTTTTTTAAGTGTATGAAACGCAATATTTTTCAAAAAACAAAAAACAAAAATAGAAATTACTCAATCTAAATAAGGTAATTTGTCTTTTCATCTCATTTTGTAAAAAAAAAAAAAAAAAATGCATGTGGTTGAAATTGAAACATATTTCTTAAGTTCAAATGATACCTTTATAATTTATAAGATTAGAAGGATAAATTGAGGAAAAAATAAAAATAATAAAATGTATTTATGTTTTTTTTTTTTAATCCCTTTTTTTTTTTCCGCCCTTTTTTTTTTTTTTTTTTTTTTTTTTTTTTAAGGTCGTTATTCAAGTTTACTGTGTTTATATGCTTGTCGATTATGCCAAGTGGTTGTTGTCTTGTACTCCATGTTATCTTTTGGCATTGATGTCGTTTTTAAGAATGTTGTTGTTTTTACATTTGACGTCGTTTCTTTGGATTTCTGTTGCTCTCTGTCGTTTCCCGGTTGCCGCATTTTAAGGTTGTTGTCGTTTTCAGTTGATACGTTGCCGTTTCAATTTTTTTTGGTCGTTTGGACTAGGGAAAAAATATATTCTGTGGTTATTTTTAAACATATGAAAAATTTTACATGAAATATAGCAGAAAATTTAAAATATTTTACAAATAGAAAAATTAACATCATTTAAATAATTATTACATAATTTTATAGTATAAAACGTCAATTGTAATCATTACCATACAAATTTTGTTATTCCTAAATATTTTTTTAAAAATGCTATATTTCAACTCCATTATAATAAATTTTCCATGTAATTGTAACATTTTTTTCCGAAAAAAAAAAAAAACAACCAACAAAGAAAAACAACAAACAACAAAGATTTGCACCGGTGGTGTCCATAATTTCTATGGTAGGAACTGTTCTCTCTCTCTCTTTTACGGGTAGAAATTGATTTTGTAGCCATTGAATTATTTTTTTTAATGGTTTGATTTATGAATGTCCATGTTAAAAATTTGTATCACGTGACATAAAAATATTATTAATCATAGATTTAACCGTTAAAAAATTAATCTAACGGCAGCAGTTAACGCAGTTGTTTCTACCAGTAAGAGAGAGAAAACAAAAAAAAAAGTGCCTACTGTAAATTTTCCTTAAGTATCCACATAACTGCTGGAGACAATTAAATAAGCTTCCTTTTTTTTTTTTTGGGTATTTAACTCAATTTTTTCTTTGTGTAGACAAGTTTTTGAAACTGAAGCAATTATGTTCACAAGGAGACTTAATTGTTTTTAATTATTTGTTTTATTATATTCTCTGATTTGTTTTCTCTTGAAGCCGCATAGAGAAATGTCCCTCTTAACCTTTTAACATGTTTTTCACAATGCTTTGGCTGAAAATTTTAATTAGTACCCTGAAATCAAACCCAAATCTTTGTTTGACTTTGATTGATTTTCGAACCTTTAAAAAACTATGACGCAGGACAAAATTTATTTTATTTATTTAGGAGGGGCATTGAAGAAAGTGGTTTTGTTGAACACATACAATAGGAAAGTTGAAAGAGACCAGAACAAATCGTTGGCATTTCTTTGGCCAACTTATTATTCAGATTATTGTGGAACAAAATTCCATCCTAAGGGGATATGCTCATTAGTTCTTAAATACATTAGGAGAAAAGGAAAGCAAGTGATATTTAAATGTTTGACGTTGAAGATAATTAACTAAAGAATTAGTAGGCAGTTGAGCAACGTTAGAAAGATACCAATGAAATTGCTATCAAATTTTCTTTTTCCAACCAAAATATTCTTAGGGGCTCACCAAATCCTTTCAATGAGATTCATTGCTTTGTCATAATTTGTGGTGAGAGTGACTTTTTTTGTCTTGGATCCAAAATTGTCCTTGCACACAAAAGTCTAGCTGTAAAAGGACTGTTGGTGGCACAAATGGATAATTTAAACTAAAGTGTGAGCCATTTGGTTCATTTTTTTTATTTAATAATAATTTATTAGGTCCAAATCCCATTTTTAGTGAGTTATTCTAATAGTATAAAATGCTATCTCTTGGATTTACTGCACAATTTTAAAAATAAATATAATTAAAAAAAGAGAGTTGAAGTTTTGGATGACTACAAACGTCCCCATTGTTGAGCATGACATGGAGATTTTTCAGAAATAGGATTATATTGTTTTGAGAAAAACCATAAAGTTGCAAGGGAATTACTCAAATATCCAAAAGAATACATTTGATTTCTGAGATAATATTAGAGACTACTATTTTGAGGCCAATGTTGGAGGAGAGTAAATTTGCGCTACTATTTCTGAGACAGACAACAAGGAACTATACAGTAAGCAATAAAATGAACTTGTACATTTTAAGGACCAACTTGGGCAAATTGTATCTTTTTCAAGGATCCTTTAATTAATAGACATTAAGAGACTAATTTTAAAGATTGATTTGAACGAAGATTTAACCTCTGAATGACAAGAAACAATGTTGCTGTCAATTCTGTTTCTTCCCTTTACTTGTGTGGAAAAGACCACATGTGCACTTCTTCCTCGTTCATGAAGCATCCTCACAAAAGGAAATTTCAGAGAATACGAAGATAATATCCAAGTGAAGCCAAAAAGCTTGCAGAGCATGAGAACGATAGAACGTGACAATATTTTAAGAGGTTTTAGGTAACACCAAAATAAGCTTCCTTCATTTTACCGATTTGAGTTTAAAATTTGAGTTTTACTACAATAAAAAATTTTAAAAAACAGTCACATCTAATCTTCTTATTACAATAGAAAATTCTTAAATAAAGTCATATCTCAACTCGAATCAGCGAACTAAACGGGCCCATAAAATTGTACTAATAGGAGACAACTTCAACATCAAATAGAGAATAACAAGTTGCTTAATTTTTCACGACTGCCCTCAAGAGAAGGAAAGAGGTTTTCAAGTGGTAAACAGAAAATTCAATGATGAGAGACTAGGGAATGAGATATGAAATTTATACTAGGAGCAAACATAATATCAAGAGCATAAAATCAAAGTAAAACAGCAAAACAATAAAACAAGAACAGACAAAATTCACAGTGGTTCACACTTAATAAGAGTAGCATGTTCACTTTAAGCAGCTACTTAATAAGAGTAGCGTGTTCACTTTAAGCAGCTGCAAAATTTCGCTATGATAAAAAAGAAGATTACGGGAAAACAAAAAAAAATGGCACAACTCTTAGATTCTCGGTGTTTTTTAATTTTTCCTTTAATCTCTTTCAACCCTAAAATCGACAGCCCTTTAATATCAGTAAAACTAGAGCAAACGAAAATACAAATGTGGAATCCCAAGAATACCCTTTGGCCAACTCTGTATCAAGGCAGTAAGTCTTGAAGAAACCTGAAGATATTAGAGCACAAACCAATATAGAAGAAACTTTATAGTAAGTTTAGCGCTATTAAATTGAACCTCAGAGTAAGGGAAACACTGTTAAGTCACTTCCTACAATCCATAAGCAGCCAATAAAGAACAAAACCTCAGTAAACAAACTTGCAAGTAACAAGGGGAGAAAAATCTCATCGTCACCTCCCTTGTAGTAGTGCCTCAAACCCCTCTCTAGTACTCGTCAAACTTATTAACAATAACACGTCCCTCAAATTCAGATAATAATATGATTTTCCCATGTTCATAGTTATCTGCAAAATTCATGGGGTATATTCAAGAGTATTTTAACTATACATCTTCTTCAACAGCTTTGTGATTGTCACCGCTGCCGCCGCCGCCTCTCCAACTATGGCCGTCAGATTTCTCATCTTCTTCGGCTTCCATACTATCATCTCCAGTGTTTGATAAAGCCTTATTAGACCCACTTGCACCAAGAGGACCCTGTGGAGAACTAGACTGAGACATGTTCGTATTATTTGCCTTTGAGTTGTCTCCACTGTGATCTTGGGCCATCCATAAGCCACTTCCTCCTTGTGCACCGGAGGAATTTGGGAGCTTTCTCACATGAAGTCTGTATTTCTGCACAGATAAGAACACATAATTTAGAAACGAAAGGGAAGATTCCTAAAATAAATTGAGAGGAAAAAAATGCAAATTAAACACTTACTTGTAAATGGCTCTTTACTTCATCATTAGTTAGCCCTTCCACTTGCATAAGCTCTCTTATCTGCTTGGGCGTAGCTGCTGCAAAATAGAGAAGAAAATTCAATCAACAGACTTTTCTTTTTTAGTTCAAAAGTGTTATGGCTTGCGATTGATCATAATAAAAACAACCCTTAAAAAAAATTCCTTCCAATTCATTTTCTACCAAATTCTTCACATACCCTTTTGGGGATTACCCAATTAAACTACAATTCTAGGCTCAAAGACAAAGTAAAAATAAAAATGAAAAAGGACCCACCTTGGGAGCCACCAAGTTGTTGCAAGGCATCAACAAAACGACGATGAAGCTCAGGGGACCAGCACCGCCTTTGCTTCCTAAACGGCTGTTGTTGTTGGTGATGATGATTATTATTCGTTTGTTGTTGTTGTTGTTGTTGGTGATGATGATGATTATTCGTTTGTTGTTGTTGTTGTTGTTGGGTTTGTGATTTGGTGGCCAATTTCACTTGGTCCGTCAGAAAATTTGAACCAGAAACGCCTCTGCAAGTAATACTAGTACTACCATGGCTAGTCTTTGAAGTTGGATTGTTGTCGTTTTTCTTAGAGTCACCAAGCTCAGGCATTGGAGGCATCAGAGAGAGGCTTGGGACTTGTGATTGTGAACTAGCACCCACCTTGAATGGCACAAATGCCCCTCTGCTTCTGTAATTACACACCCCAGTTGAAACTTGGGACCTCTCTTCTTCTTCACTTCTCTAAAAATTTAAAAAAAAAAAAAAAAAAAAAAAGATCATCAATTTCAATTATCCATTTCTGTGAAAACCCAGAAGGAAAAAGAAGAGGAAAAAGAAAAAAAGAAAAGAAAAAGAAAGATTCTTTTGTTTACCGTTTTGAGGTCTGACATAGGGGTAGTTTGCTTGTCAGGGTCAGAATCGACATTTGAGCTCATCCATAGCTGAGCAGAGCTCATCCAGTTCCTCTTGTCGCTGAAATCACTTTCCGATTTTACCCCTCCGATCTCGGAATTCCCCTTCAACGGCATCAACTCCACAATCCCTCGCGTTTCTTCGCTCTTTATCGCCTTCTCTTCTTCTCTCAACCTCCCAATAGCTGCCCCCAAAAAAAAAAAATCAACAACCCATCTTCCAAAAACAAAAAAATAAAATAAAATAAAAAATAAAAGAAAAATCACCATCGTTAACAAGAAGCACAGAAAGAGGAAGCTCGCGCTTAAAAGCGTCGATTTTCGTCCTCTCTTCTTCCAATCTCTTGACGTAATCTTCAAGCTTCGAGAGCTTCTGAGAACAATCTCCGATCGCTGAAACTTCCGAAATTATATCAGAAATGGTCTTCGGAACAAACACCAAGCTCAGTTCCATTTTTTTCTTTTTAATTTTTGTCAAGTTATATATCGGTTTCTAACATTGCCCAGATAAGGAAGAGAAAAGAAACAGCGGTGGTTTTATACATATGAAATGAGGAAAATAGAGAGAGAGAGAGATTCATGAGGAAGGAAGATTCCTTGTTTCGCATTCGTTTCGTCGCGTCTATGGGTCAACTCGGCGACTCGGTCCAATAACCCGCGAGTAAATACAAACCTCCTTTTTTGTGGATGGAAAATGGAATCTTTCGGATTCCCCTACTCGCTCCTCTAACAATGTTAAAGATATTATTAATTTAATTTTCACCGCTGCTTTTTTTTCTTTTTTTTTTTTTTTACTTTTTTTACTTTAAAATATAAAATAATTTTTCATTTTTTTTTTATTTTTTTTTTAATTTTGCTCCTTCAAGAATCAAGATTCTTCTTCTTGCTCTTTGGGGTTTGGTGGGCTGAAGGAATCGCTGGCTAAAAGCGACTCCGAGTCGTTGACCTACGCGTGTTTATTCAGAGCAGTTCGGGGTAGTTTGGTCATTTTAGACTTGCATCCTTTTTTTTTTTCGGTTGTCTTGTCCAGTTGTCCTTCCATAAAAAAATATATGAATTTTTTTTTCTTTTACTTATTGGAGTTTTGTTCTTTTCCCGTTTTTTCCTTCCTTATATCTATTTTCACCCTTTCAAATTTTATTTTCTTTGGACAAGATTCAAGAATTGTTTTTATACAAATGATCACGACCGTCCAACTTCACCTTTGTTTTAGTTAAAAACTTAGAGCACGTTCTTTTAGAGTTAAACTCAAAAGAAATTTGAACTCAAGTTATAACTTTATTTAAATTTATATTTTTTTGTAAAATTTGAGTTTAAATTTAAGTTATAACTCACACTTCGTGGATTTGAGTTTTCAATTCGAGCTGAGATGCGACATTTTTTAAGAACTTTTCACTATAGCAGAAAAAGTTAAATGTGACATTTTCTGAGAGCTTTTTACTGTAGAAACCTAAAACTGAAAACTCGAATCGGTGAAATGAACGAGGCATCAAGTTTTAACTTGAGTTTAGGGCTAAAATTTGAGTTCAAGTTCTCCCTTTAACTCAAGTTTTTAAACTCAAACTCCAGTTAATGAACAATTCTATTTTTAAAAACGACATAATTTTTTCATTTTAATTCCGATTGAGATTATTTTTTTTATACGTTCACAACGAAGAGACGAATAAAATCCCACCCATATACCCTATTAAAATTTTCCATCACCATTGAATTTTTATTAAATTACTATCTAAATACAAATTCAAGTTTTGACCCACTCAAATACAAACTCAAAGAGATTCACAATTCAAACCATAACTCAAAGGTGTACATCCAAACATAAACTCAAGTTATAATTTCAACTCAAGTTATATTTCAAATTCAACTCAAGATCTACATTCAAGTCACCATAACTAAAAAATGCAACTGAACATACCCTTAACCTCTTTTTCTTTAAAAAAAAATAAAAAAAAAAAACTTTACCTCTATTCTTATTACCTAAGTGTCGGATAATGTGATTCTTTTTTTTTCCTTTTTGAAGATGTAGATACTTAAATTAGAATCTGTACGCGCGCTTCATGAGAGTTTCAAATATGTAAAACTAACATGTAATATGGTCAATAAATTATTTAAAAGTAAGCTTTTAATTGATAAAAATTTGAGAAATAATACATGTTGTAGGAAAAGGGAAACATATTCTTAAAAAAATGAAAGAAAAAGCAAAAAGAGGGAGACATCAGAGATGATAAGAATTAATAAAATTAAGAGAATTTTTACATAAAATCTGTCCCTTTTAACTATTGATAGGAACTATTATTTAATAAATCATTGAATTAAATCTTCAATAAATTTGATCTATAAGGAATTATTATTTAATCAATCGTTGAATTAAATCTTTAACAAATTTTATCTATAAGTGTTCATGTCAAAAATTTATAATGCACAATACAGGATTATCTCAATCACAAATCAGTTTGTTAAAAATTTAATCTTTTAATTAAAATATTTTTTTTTTTACCAATAATTGAAAAAGATAAGTGTAAGGTGATACAACAGAAACTCCTTAGAATTAAGGGTTGTTAAAATGTTTTTAGTACTAAGTTTACCTTTTTGATGAATACAATAAGGTAATTATATCTCAGCGGAGGTGACGTGTAACAATTATATTTCTTTTTTAGTAGAAAAAAATATTAAGTTCTTCTTGGTGGGGGAAGAAGTAAAGGGTTAACTTTAGGTTTCCTGTCAATTACTCGTGCATTTACCTTTCTGTTTCCTTGCTTTTATTCTGGTTTGTTTCTTTCCCGTTGTTTTATTATTTAATGCTTTGACATTTCGCCCCACATGAGTTTCATAGTTCCCCCCATGATAAATTGCTTTTGTCAACAATATTATTATGCTTTATTGAATCTTGAAAACCAACAACATCAATCAATAAAAGTGCACCTAAAGCTAATGCGAATTATACGTTGTTACTAGAGATAAAGATGTAAAAATAAAATAAAATAAAAAAGAAGATGTGTTTACATTTTCGATAAGTTATGTCTATCCCCATCAAATTTCCATTCGTTAGTTATCCACTTTACTGTTGGTGAATAATTTGGTATTCATAATTAGTCTAACGCGATAACGCAGAATTCATCAATCAAATATATGTTAAATGTCGAAAAGTGGAAACAACATTACGTGCCACTGCGCACAATAATCAGACTTGAACTCTACTTGAAAAATCTATAAAAAGAAACTTTAAAAATGAGGGATATCGCCTAAAAACACTTCAAGAAAGCTGAGCAAAAAACAAGTAAACTGGGAAGAGTGCTAGGGTAAGAGTACTTGTACCTTTAGCGAAACGAGTTGCAAAATTTAAAGGTGTTATGTTCAAGCTGGTTGAGATATGATTCGATATGTAAGGTCTAGGTACACTTGATTAGTCCGTTAATGAGAGATGGACACCACATCTCTCAATTAGTACTAGTCCGTTGAATAAAACGTGAGATTCCTATGAGAAATGCAGAGCAATCGTCCGGTGTCTTGCATTGAATTTCCCTTGTCCGGGATACCAATAGCTCCTAATTTGCTAGCACCAAATTAAAGGACAAAAAATTAGGAAGCTCGCGTTTTGCTTACTTTGCCGTTGGCTTGAGTGCACTAGAGTAGAGCTGTCAAACGTGCCGTGTCGGGCCGGCACAGCACGTCTGATCCCAGGCCCGTGACGGGCCTGGACCGTGCCTGGCATGGTCCTGCACAGTGCAGGATCGTGTTAGAGCCGGGCCTAAGGAGAAACTCCATAAGGACCAGGGCCGGGCCTGGGCCCAAACCCTTGTAATTTCTTTTACAAAATTTAATTAAAAAAATAAAATATATCATATATTCCAAAAAGATGTCATTTTATTGAATTGAGATAATACGAATAAGTACACATAAATGGTTGCCTCATTAAAAACATTGCCAAGTAAAACCCGTTGGGAGATCGAGACAAAATCTTAGCGAATAAAAAAAGAGTGCAGTATTCTAAAATAAGTAAATTACAAAAGCTAAGTGCTTCTAAAAGATTTTGTTATTCTTAAGTTAGAAAAATAGTCTTGCATTGAATCATCCGTATATTGTTGTTTTCGTCTTCTGGCATCTTCTCAGTCTTTAACACACATTAGCCCCTCCAAGATATCTTGGTGCATTCTGTTTCTCTTCTCGTCAAGAATTTGGTTGCTTGCACTAAATGCTTGCTCCGATGCTACCGTTGACACTGGAGTTGTCAGAATTGCTTGTTCCCGAATCGAATTCGGGTGCGGAAGCGTGGGGAAGACGGATCGTGTATAACAAAAATTTTCACAAAACTTTTGAGATACTCTATAGATTATATTAATTTATGCACGAATAAATTAATCACATTAATTTACATCAAGAATTCAATCCGGAAAAATACCTAGAAGCTGACTCGGATGATAACTTGAATTCTTTGACCACGAACAGTCCTTGCTCCAATCTTTGCGTTCAGAATACCAAAGTCTTCCACGTCAATTCCTTGATTCCACGTAGACGTGTGTGTGAGCACACGTGAGACAAAATAGGTTTCTGAAACACTCGAATTTTCACAAACACTAACGCATGCACGATGTGAAATTTTTGGAGAAAAAATTTTCTTTCTTTTTCTTGCTTTGAGAATTTCGGCCACCTCTCAATTAGGGCTGAATAATCTTTCAAAAATTGTGTCCACAATTTTCTATCATTCTCATATTTAAAGAGTAGAAGTCAAACTTCAAAACATGATCAAATCCCTATCTCCAATTTTGAATTTCGAACAGAAAAATCCCTTCCCCTTATCCTTTAGTGGCCGGCCACCATTAGGGATTTATCTCTCTGTGTGTGGCGCCTATATCAGATAGACAAGGAAGAAATTTTATCCTTTATCCAGTAGTCCAATTTTAATTCAGATTCAAATTCGAATTTAAGTCAAACTTAAATTAATTTGAATTCTAAAATTGAACAACTTATCAAATAAGTTTAAATGGATAAATCTAGATGTATTCAAATTCAAATTTAAATAATCACATTATTTAAATAATAATCAATTCTCAATTAATTATTTTCGAGTATTTAATTTATAGAATTCCTTAATTCTAAAATTTCCCATTTTACCCTCTGTGTCTGGTAGAATTACTAGGACGACGCGGGGACTAATGGACCTATAATCCCGAGCTCCAATAAAATTAATAATTAATTAAACACTTTAATTAATTAATTAATTCTATTAATTCCAATAGTTACTCCACTATAAACTTGGAATTGCA